CTATGTAAAACATACGCTGTTTGAGAGTATGTGTTATGTAGGGGGAGCAGAGATTGATATTGAGGGTGAGAAGTAGAGGGAGAGGGATGAGAGCTGGGATTGAGAGTGGGAAGAGGGGGAGGTAGATATAAATATAATGGGAATTGTTCAAAGTGTATGGATATCAGTGAAACTTCGTGTGTGTGTGTGTGTGTGTGTGTGTGTGTGTGTGTGTGTGTGTGTGTGTGTGTGTGTGTGTGTGTGTGTGTGTGTGTGTGTGTGTGTGTGTGTGATGTGTGTGTGTATGTGTGTGTGTATGTGTGCGTGTGCGTGTGCGTGTGCGTGTGCGTGTGCGTGTGCGGGCGCATGTGCGTGCGTGCGTGCGTGCGTGCGTGCGTGCGTGTGTGTGTGTGTGTGTGTGTGTGTGTGTGTGTGTGTGTGTGTGTGTGTGTGGTGTGTGTGAGTGTGTGTGTGTGACGTGTGCGTGTGCGTGTGCGTGTGCGGGCGCGTGTGCGTGTGCGGGCGCATATGCGTGTGCATGTTCGTGTGTGTGTGTGTGTGTGTGTGTGTGTGTGTGTGTGTGTGTGTGTGTGTGTGTGTGTGTGTGTGTATGTGTGTGTGTATGTGTGTGTGTATGTGTGTGTGTATGTGTGTGTGTATGTGTGTGTGTATGTGTGTGTGTATGTGTGTGTGTATGTGTGTGTGTATGTGTGTGTGTATGTGTGTGTGTATGTGTGTGTGTATGTGTGTGTGTATGTGTGTGTGTATGTGTGTGTGTATGTGTGTGTGTATGTGTGTGTGTATGTGTGTGTGTATGTGTGTGTGTATGTGTGTGTGTATGTGTGTGTGTATGTGTGTGTGTATGTGTGTGTGTATGTGTGTGTGTATGTGTGTGTGTATGTGTGTGTGTATGTATGTGTGTATGTGTGTGTGTATGTGTGTGTGTATGTGTGTGTGTATGTGTGTGTGTATGTGTGCGTGTGCGTGTGCGTGTGCGTGTGCGTGTGCGTGTGCGTGTGCGTGTGCGTGTGCGTGTGCGTGTGCGTGTGCGTGTGCGTGTGCGTGTGCGTGTGCGTGTGCGTGTGCGTGTGCGGGCGCATGTGTGTGTGTGTGTTGTGTGTGTGTGTGTGGTGTGTGTGTGTGTGTTGTGTGTGTGTGTGTGTTGTGTGTGTGTGTGTGTTGTGTGTGTGTGTGTTGTGTGTGTGTGTGTGTGTGTTGTGTGTGTGTGTGTTGTGTGTGTGTGTGTTGTGTGTGTGTGTGTTGTGTGTGTGTGTGTGGTGTGTGTGTGTGTGTTGTGTGTGTGTGTGTTGTGTGTGTGTGTGTTGTGTGTGTGTGTGTGTGGTGTGTGTGTGTGTGTTGTGTGTGTGTGTGTTGTGTGTGTGTGTGTGTGGTGTGTGTGTGTGTGTATGTGTGTGTGTATGTGTGTGTGTATGTGTGTGTGTATGTGTGTGTGTATGTGTGTGTGTATGTGTGTGTGTATGTGTGTGTGTATGTGTGTGTGTATGTGTGTGTGTATGTGTGTGTGTATGTGTGTGTGTATGTGTGTGTGTATGTGTGTGTGTATGTGTGTGTGTATGTGTGTGTGTATGTGTGTGTGTATGTGTGTGTGTATGTGTGTGTGTATGTGTGTGTGTATGTGTGTGTGTATGTGTGTGTGTATGTGTGTGTGTATGTGTGTGTGTATGTGTGTGTGTATGTGTGTGTGTATGTGTGTGTGTATGTGTGTGTGTATGTGTGTGTGTATGTGTGTGTGTATGTGTGTGTGTATGTGTGTGTGTATGTGTGTGTGTATGTGTGTGTGTATGTGTGTGTGTATGTGTGTGTGTATGTGTGTGTGTATGTGTGTGTGTATGTGTGTGTGTATGTGTGTGTGTATGTGTGTGTGTATGTGTGTGTGTATGTGTGTGTGTATGTGTGTGTGTATGTGTGTGTGTATGTGTGTGTGTATGTGTGTGTGTATGTGTGTGTGTATGTGTACCACCCACAATAACAACAGCACTAAAACAAAAGCAACATCTCATAACATCAACAAAACCAACCTTTTAATATCCCAATGTGACGAAATAAAAGCTGTTTTCACTAGCACACCCACCAGTGCTGAAGACGGTAAGCAGTACGCGTGTGGCCGCTAGAACCACAGGCGTTCACACTGATACACTTAGGAAACCTTGGAAAGTAAAAAACGCCATGCAGGACTTCCTGATGTCTGGTGACGTAGGACTGTCATGCAACCTTTTTGAAGTCATATGTTAAGTGTATGACTTGTTATGAAGTCACTGATCCATCTGTTGTGGTGACTGATTTTGTAATGTTAATTGTGGCAAGTTGCTGGGCATTTAAATTTCACTGTGATTAGTGTTACTAATTCAATAATTGGATGGAGATATTTATATCGTTTTTACAAGTTTTTAACCGTCGCTGATATCAAAGTTTATTATAACTCGTTACTGAAGTGGTTTTGTGGGCAACATCTTTGGGAAACAGGTAAGGAAGAAAAGAAGTAAAAAAAATAATAATAATAATAAAGAAAAGGAGAAGAATTGACAAGAGATAGGGACGAAGAACAAAAGTAACAACAATAACACCAATAATATTAAGAAAAATAACAAAAGTAGAACAAAGCTAACCTTAAACCTAAATAAAACAAAGTTGACCTTAAAACAAACATCAAAAACAAAGAAGAATTATTAATACGCAGTGGGATTTCATTTCAAATTCTAAATAAGTTTGTCCTGTGCGTATTAAGAGAGAAAACCTAATTTCGTGTTGGACAGGTCACTCATTTATCCCTCTGTACAGACCCCGAAACAACATTTTTTTTAATCAATATCTTTTCGTATATTTGTAAAAGACAAATCTAAGAAACTTGTATAGAATAAATGTCCTTATAACACCTGTAAGTGCTAAATTAAGTTTCATTTTCTTGTTCTATTGCTGTATAGTAAAGCATTACTACGTTATTATCGTTCTTCTTTGCATATAGTTTATCAATAAATAATTTTGTCATTTCATAATTACAGTTACTGTTTTAGCAATTGTATCGTTAACGCCAGCGGTAGTTTTTTATTAATTATTTTATTATCGTTATTATCATATCGTCATGATTACCGTTAGTGTTTTTCTATACTTCTGATAATTAATATCATTATGGTTATGTCATTTTAATAATTGTTATAATCATTCACTTGTCAGAATCATTATTAATGTCAGCAGTAAGCTGTATGTGGCTGGTATCTGTAGCAATACCACTAATATGGAAGGGCATTGTCATGATTATTTTTATAGTTATCATCATTAATATTGTTAACGACCGGGCTCCCCAAATAGGCATAGCCCGGGCGAGGCTCTGCTTCGCGAATCTTAAAAAAAAAAAAAAAAAAAAAAAAAAAAAAAAAAAAAAAAAAAAAAAAAAAAAAATTAATATTGTTGTTGTTCTTTGTGTTTCTGGCAGCTACGTTGACGTGGATAACTTAAAAATTCAGTTACCAAAATCATGTCCATGGTTCGCCATAAAGTACGTTTCCGTTATTTATTCCCAAAGATACAAAGCGAGCCTCCTGAAATCTCGGCGGGAAAACCCACGTTGAAAAGCATGATTCACCTCACATATAAGAAAGAAACAGTTTCCCTTCAACTATTAGAGTCAGAATGTTACCGTCTTACCTACTATCCTTCCTCCCTCTACCTCTAACCTTGGCCTACTCCTAATCCTTAACCTCTCCCCCCCCCCTCACGATCCCCCCCGTCAAACCCTAAATGGTGAAAGTAGTACACATGCACTTAGCAACTAACCACAAAGGGTAGGTACCTTTATCTAATATAAGGACCTCCCGACTCCGATCCTATGCCTGAGGATAGGTTTTGGGAAAGCTTGGTTATGCAACATCGATTCTATAAGATTCTATAGAGTATATCCCTTGCCGTAACTTTCTACTGCTTAGAGAGCACATATGATAGAAAATAATCCTAGTAGAGTAATGGCAACTTAGACAGAAACACGGGAATATTTGCGGTTGAGTAATATGGTAGATAGGTAGATAGTTATGGAAAAAAAAGGTAACAGTCAAGTAAGAAATATTGATGATTGAATTATATGGTAGATTGCTATATGACGGTGGGTTTACAGTTATGGTAGAAGTACAATGATTATGTAATGTTCAAAGAGTTACTATAACCAGCATAACGAAAGCAAATGCAAAGGTGGGGAACGAAAGTGAAAGCATGGTGGTGATAGAAGATAAGATAGAGAGATAAGACAAATGTAATCCTCCTCGCACTGATAACACTGACAGAGATGATGATAATAATATTGGTAGTGATGATGATGTGATCATCAATATCATCATCATTATCATCACCATCACCATTACCGTTATCAGCATTACCATCATCATTATACCAATATCAAAATAATAATAATAATAATGCAGATAATATAATAATAATAATAATAATAATGCAGATAATATAATAATAATAATAATAATAATAACAATAATAATAATAATAATAATAATAATAATAATAATAATAATAATAACAACAATAACTAAACACGATATAAAATAATAGCAATACCTCAATATATAATAACGGCAACAAAAGTGTTTGACCGAAAAAGAAAGAACAAAAACGACTCAACAAAAGCATAGGAAATGCTTAATCAGGTTCACTATGCGTTTCCTTTGTACTGTTTAGATACTAAGATAATCAGAAAATTATAAGTAAATAGAGTGAAATAAGACACATTTGTCTAGTATACTTTGTCTATAATCACCAAAATAAAAACTCTGATACACACACGCACGCACACACGCACGCACGCACGCACGCACGCACGCACACACACACACACACACACACACACACACATATGATGTATGTATGCGTGGGTGTATGCGCGCGCGTGTGCATGTGCGAGTGTGTGTCCTATTGACAACAACAACAAAAAATCTGCACACATTTTTTTTCGTTTACAAATGAAGTAGTACTTCACATTAAAAACAAGAAAAACAATTTACCTTCTTCTTCTTCCTTTTTGGTGTAGGTCTCTGCAATCTCCAAGACATGAGACTCGAGTGTATCCTTAACTCCCATTAACTTGGCAAACATTTTGGTGGTTATTAGTCTAGTGGTGCTTGTACAGTTATTTAACAGAAATCTGAGTCGTTCTATTAATTGGCAGTAGTTTTATTTTCTTCTCTCTTTTCTTTATTCCTTATGTAATGTTTATTACGTTTATTACTTGTTTATTGTTTATTTAATACGTTGGCATTTGAACAATTCTTACACTGTCACATTGGGTACTATAGCCTCATTTCCCTGTCATGATGCTAATCAATTAAAGAGATAGATTAATTTGATTTTATTAGTGACAGAAATAAGTTAATGTCCTTCACCGTTTCGTTTCAACACGAATAAATGTAGACACTTTTTCTTTTTTCTAGAGTTTCTTTAAATAATAATAATAAATAATCACTAAGAAATACTGTTAAATATTTATAACTCTTCGCACTTCACAGATCGAGTTCAAACAGTTCTTTCAAGCAGACACTCTTGTAAATATCAGTTCCTCTCAAAGTATCTTCTAAACAGAATGCCTCTTCTCTTCTTACTGATTGTAGTACCTACCTACACTTACATTTATATATGCGTCACAAGTCACAATTTTGTCATCTTATAGCGAGAAAAAATATACGTGACGTGGTAAAGTGACTCATGGTTGCGTGGGTCTACCCCATTTCCATTCATACTCTTACTACAGGATGTTGAAGTTTGTATGTTTAATCTCATCTCGAGTGATAATTCTTATCTCGACGAGGCATTCTGACAGATTGTAGAGACTGATAAAAAAAAAGAAGATAACTTATCTCTTTATGAGATTGGTCTATTTGAGGTAATTTTTTCACACCGTTTTCAGATTATCTTATCAGTGTTTTGGCGTGGACACATCCTAGGAAATGGATTTTCGAAATACGTATTATACAATATACAGGAAGTTAATTTTTAGTATCACGTATTATACAATTCAGTTACGCAGAGGGAAAGTTGCTTTACAGATCTCATTACAAAATGGGGGAACTTTACATAATAGAACCGGTATTTTAAAAAACAAAGATTCCTTGCTTTCCATAAAAGGTCGTGTCACTTCGTATACTTTCTTTGTAACAAACTAATATATATAGAGAGAGATGCATTTTTCCAAAACATTTATTCCGATTTTCAACAAATATTCACTATATTTAGGAATCCGTTTTTGGAGGCCTCGGTCAATAACTGGACTTCTGCTATAAAATCCATAAATCAGAGAGTGACTTCGGATGCAAAATACGTCAATGAGAAAACGAACATACATGTGCATGATGAGACCCTCGCAAAAAAAAAACGCAGTGACGTCACACACGAAGTCATCGTACCGCAAAATCTATACGTTGTGTCATAACCCTTTTTCTCTATATCGAGGGAGTCATAACTCATTCCAGTAGTATCAGTTATCAGTGTAGATCTGTAAGACGTGATATTGGTTCTAAAATGTCTAACTTTGGACTTCAAAGAAAATACTCTTGTGGAAGACAATTCCGCCAGACGACATCGCACACACGCTGCCAGCTCTGACCTAACTTTGGCTTTCACTTAAAAATAATCTCTTTTAATAGAGTTTCTCGTCATATAAATCCCATCACATATATTTTTTTCACTTTCTCCTTCATCATCCCCACCATCATGAGAGTTTTTCTCCACTCATCCTACAGTGTATAAACCTACAATAGGTTTTATAATTTCCTTTCATCTCTTTTTTCTAAAATACACACCCATCAAGGTCACAGAGTTCACAGTGAAGAACAGAGTACCATTATCCACATACTTCCTAGAGAACAATGACGCTCCCTCCAGATGCTAGAATTACACAATTCGCAGTCTTATACACATACAATAAAGTTTTCTGCACATAAACCCACAGCTACGATGATGTGGCCAAAGACACAAGTGTTGGACTGGCTTAAACCGAGAGACTAGCTGGCTGTATTTTTAGAGAGAGAGAGAGAGGGATGCACGGGCAGCGGCAAATTTAAAATGTCTTTTGGGGTATAAGGGTATGAATGGGGTTTTGGGAGTATCTGTATCTGGGTGAAGTCTTTGAGGTTTTGTGGTGTTCATATTTATGAGTTCTTGATATGAATTTTGTGGTATAATTTTTTTTTTCCTGATATTTTGTGACCTGCTTTTAAAAGTTTCCGTGATTTTTATTTTCCTTTAATAGTCGATTGCAGGAGTTTTTTTTTTTTTAATAAAAAAAGAGTCAAAATTACATAACTGTTTGCTTTTACATTCAACTTTCGCGAGTACATTTGAGAAATCATTTTATTATTATTACTTTTTTATATCATTCCCATCAAAAACACACACACACACACACACACACACACACACACACACTCTCTCTCTCTCTCTCTCTCTCTCCCCTACATAACCTCACTTATTCATGACCCAGTAGAGTGCAGTAGATCCTGGACTGAACTGGGATGTACTAGATTATTTGTTATCCATATATAGATATATATATGTATATGTTTATGTATATGTGTGTGTGTGTGTGTGTGTGTGTGTGTGTGTGTGTGTGTGTGTGTGTGTGTGTGTGTGTGTGTGTGTGTGTGTGTGTGTGTGTGTGTAGGTATGCATATGTGTATGTATGGGTATATATATATATATATATATATATATATATATATATATATATATATATATATATATATATAAAATTTATTTATATACAAATATAAATAAATTAATATATAGTTTTTATATAAATATAAATAAACACACACACACACGCAGGCAAGCACGCTCGCAGGCACGCACGCAGGCACGCACACACCCCCACCCCCATCCCCATGTTACAATATTGTTAGTTTACACCCTTCTTACATAGGCATAATTTTTACAAGTAGGAATTGCTATAAAATCGTTGTACTTGGCCATTTTTTTCTTTAAAAATGTCAGAGATTCTGTTTTTGCCAAAATATAAAAATGAAACAGGATGATAACTCATTTTAGCTTTAGATTATTTGCTCTGTAATTCTTTGTCTATTTTAAAATAATAAGCTTGCTTAATTCAACTCTGTTTATCAATTTTAGAATTCAAGTTTAATTTAAAGGTTCATTTTACATACTTTTCTTTTGCTTGTATCATACATGGGTAACACATACTTATTTTATCTCTTTATATATGATTTATTCCTTTTTAATTTCATTAAGGATGTTTCTAACTTCCTTTTGGATTCTTTGAAGCATTTTCTGTACAAAAATGCATCAGGATCTTCCAATACTTAAGATTTTCTTTTAATCTCCCATATACTTTTCTGTGACTTATCCACTTTCCAAGTGGTTTGCTTTAATAACCCCTTGAAGAAATGCATCCTACATTTTGTCATGCTCAGGCAAAAAGGCAGGACAAATTGTACTAACATTTTCTCGAGCAGTCAGGAAATGAGGATCTCATATGTAGAATTTAAAAATACTAACAACTTTTTGGTGAGATTTGAATTACAACTAAGAGAAGCCATTGCTCAGTGCAGTCATGAACCACTCTCTGTCAATCATAAGAGGGCATAATCTTTAAGGGTTGAATCCATGTCTTTGCTATTTATATTCCTTGCCGAACTCGCAAAGTGAAGTTAAGATCTGCCTTTACATAAATCCATTCTCAGTCCTCATACTCTCAAGCTTTATAACAGCTTTCAATATAAATTCAATTCCCAACATTTACCCAATGCTGCCAGGAATATGCTGTGCTCATTTAATTTTTTTCTGTGAAATGTCTCTGCACATAGATGGCTCTGCTAGTGCTTAGCCACAAAGGAATCAATTAGTAGACCTTGTGACCTTACCTAATTTCATCTTTCCCCTTTTTACTAATGCTATGAACATTGATGGTGTTTTTATTATAAACATTATAATTACTATAATGTTATAAACATTAGTAACAGAAAAATAAGATGACAAAATATTTTCATAAATCAAGGAAAAGGGTAAATGGGCGAGACATTCAGTAATCATAATTGGCTCATTGGTGACTTAGTACAAGTGTAGCCATCTGTGTGAAAACAACTAATAAAGTAAACTCACAGTGGGCATGGCATATACATACACGCCAAGCCCGACAACATTGGGTTAATATACACAATACTTTGTGTGCACTAAGTCTTTCCACTGTGAGCTCCTAAACACTGTGCCTTCAAATAGTATAGTGCCCCATATGGCTAGGTGTGTGGGACTAGCAACACTGGGATAATGATACAACAGTGAATAAAGTTAATATAATCAGACAATTAGTGACAATTATCCATTAAAGGTGTTTTCATGCCTACTTGCATTTTTTTCTTCAAAATAAAGATAACCAATTAAACTGTTTTTCTACAGTGAATCCTAAATTAATTTTTTACTTTTGCTGATAATGTGAGATTGATAAACCACAAAAAACCCTGGCTAGCCATACATAAAGGGACACTAACAAACATACACACACTATATGAAAATTAAAGGATTCTTCGAGTTGTACACATACACAGTATATCTCTCATAATAAACAGATGGTCCAGTGGTACAGCAGCCTCAATTTGAGATTGTATAAGACAACTGTTTACAGAATACTGTATTCAAGCTCAATCAGAATGGCTCTTTACATTCTTATAATTCTTTCTGTGCAAAATTGCAAAGCCTCATACCATTTACCTTTCAACGATTGCATTCCCTCAGTGCTGGTATTGACAGAAAGCAACATAAAGCAAATGCAAAAGGCAAGCTGTATAATGAAGCACACTTCTGATGACCAACAACTATTTGTGCATTTCAAGTCTGATTCTATTACCGTGTATTGTATCTCAAATTTTTGCATCTTAGACAAAGATCATAATTTCTCCTTTATAAACTTGAGTGTAACTGTGTAGTCTACACCCATGATAATTCTGTATCTTTTATGATAATTCAGGTGATTTGTAATCTACTACTAGATTAATTTCCTAATAGCCACTACTCTTTTCTTCAAAAGTATCAGATCAGATTTTCAAGCTTTAAGACTATATTATGATAATTACAAACCTTTGTCTCCATCATGTTCTAAACATGTAACGATGGCATTCCACTGCATGCAAAATCTGGAAATCATGTGTAAGAGGATAGGACACTAAACAACAAATCTCATATAAAATTATTATTCTTATTATCATTATAAAATTTATGCAAAATATAATTTAGTTCCATGCTACCACAATCAAAAGTAGGTCCTTAGTCAAGGTGCAATACCATTAAGTACAGGAAGCCCAAACCATGCAACAAGACATCAACAGTAACAATTGATAATAAAACATTGCAATATTCAATCAAGCCTTTTACAAAATAAGACTGAAATTGGACAAAAAAAAAAGAAGAAAAAGATCTTCAAATTACAAACATAATTAACAAATAAACAAAGCTGCTTAACAAGAACAATTGTCAATTCAGACCATGCAAAATTTAAAATGAATTCATAAAAATCAGAACAGCATTTCATAAGCATAAAAATAAAAATAATAATAATAGCTGATTGCACTTCCTTCTAATGCTAATGGAAGCCAACTCGTGCAGTGAGTTATTTAAAATTATTCCAGGCACTTTCTCTTGGCACTGTATAGGGGAAAGTACCTATTTTCACTATTCTCTCTTATCACCAGACAAAAAAATAAAAATAAATAAAAATAAAGATGACAGATCTCTGGCACATACACTGAATGTTCA